TGTTGGTGGAGCTCTGCATTTAAAAAGCCAAAAGAAAACATAGAAAGACTATTAATAAACAAGCAGAAAGCAGAGCCTACAAGGTGGGTGACATATGTCCTGAGTTGACCAGACCAGCCTTGGTTCCTACCTGTTGTCCAGTGTCCCAACCACTTAGCGCCTATTTTTCCTAACAAAAGCGTCTCAGTTTGGATGATTAATTATATGGCTACCCCAATAAGGCATTGATGTTCTTTATTTTGGGGATTCCTTCAGTATCTCTGATCCCCTACCGGCAGAAGCCCAAACTCCTTAGTATGTGATGAAGGCTTTGACCTCCCCAGTCAAAACGCCATCAGGCATACCCACTATCTGCAGATCACACCTGACTGACTCCCTCCAGCTCCTCAAAGGGGAGGACCACAGCTCCTCAAAGGGGAGGACCACAGCTCCTCAAAGGGGAGGACCACTGCTCCTGCTCAGCATCTTCACCCGCACCCCACAGGATGGAAGCTCCTCCACATTCATCCGGACTCAGCTCAGCATTGCCTCCTCTGGGAGGTCCTCCCAGGCCTCCACTCCTGATCACTCTGCCCATACCTCTGCTGGCACCTGGGCCCGCCTGATCTATAGCTCTGTCTTGGTCTCCTCTGATGTACTATAATGTAAAGAAGGGAGGTCACCTGACTCGCCTTTTTCTCCCTTAGCACACAATTAGCACGCAACAACATGTTTGATTAATTAAATAGAGAAGTACATGAAGATTTGCTAACACGATATTGGCCAAATTATCTTTCGTCAGTGTGAACAAGAAAAAATGGACTTCAACTCACCTGGCCCACCACTGTTATCATCACCAGTCAGTCTGGTCCATGGTGGGCCTCACCAGTGTCCTAGGATGAAGGCCAGGGTCTACCATAATCCTTAGCTGAATTCCAGGTCTGCTGCTTACAGAAGTGATCTTGGACAAGTTACTGTACTTACCCAATCTTAACTTAGTTCCTTCAGGATAAATTGGGGGAAAGACAACTGTCCTTGGTGTGAAGTTATAAACAGTGCACAAAGAGTAATACCAAGGATTGACCCTGGCACAGAGAACATAGGTCATAAAGGGTAATTAACTTCAGTGGTGATCATTTCCAGCCGAAAGAGGTCCAACCAGAAAAAGAATGTCTTCTTCTTCCCCCCAAAGATAAGCCCCACCTGGATCTATACTGTTTTATGTCCCTCACTCTGTCCCAGGGCTCAGGTGCAGAACCTCTGCACCATAACCATTATTCTGCTCTTTCCAAATCCTGCTTTTCCTCTTTTCTAATTATTCCCAACAGAACTATCATCACAAGGAACAGAGCAGGAAAGGCAAGGACTTACAACCCAGGACAGGCTGTGGTCAAATAAGGAAGAACTTTTTGACTGCCACTCGGATTCAACCGTGAAACAGACTCAAAAGGAATTCTTGGGGAAATGTCAAGGAGGGGAAATTTGAGCCTGGGGAGGGATTATATGACTTCATGCCAGGACAATAAAACCTCAAGTTAACTATACCTGGAACAAAACACTCCCTCAATCAGAAGCAGTTACGGGTGCTCCACTAGCAAACAGGGGAAAGAGGCTGATAAAAGGCGAGTTCTGAGGGTCAGCACGGGAAACAAAAGAAGGCAAGGAAAGCTCCTTTAAAGCTTTCCTCTGCCCAGGAAACAAAGCACAGGCAGCCAGGCAATAACAACAGAAACAAATGGGACGACAATGTTTCAGTTTAATAGCACAGAGCTGTTTAAACTTTACAACAAAACACAAATGTGCTGGTGACTGCTTTTATTATAGAGAGACAGGATAACATGGAGGTGAAAAACACAGAAGCTCTGGAACCAGAGTGCCTGAAATGAACTCTAGCTCCTGTACTTATAGCTGTGTGACCCTGTGCAAGTTACCTAACCTCTCTGTACCTCAGTTTTCACCTCTGGAAGATGAAGATAACAGATAATGGTACTTACACTCCATTAGTATTATAAATACTAATTTTTAAGATACAACAGTACTGGTCAAGTGATTAATGCTACATAAGTGTTTGACGAATAAACATATTAAGATCCAGGACTCACTCAAAAGGAGCTTACACAAAACCTTGTGCTTAAAAACTACTACTGGTATCGCCATCCTCAATCTCAAGGGTACCTTTATTTTAGATTGACTCCTGGGAATTCGACTTGTTGACCAACAAATCCTTTTCTTGATCATGACGACAGGACAGCTTTAAAACCCAGAGGTCACTGTGACGTGGTGAAACAGAAACTGAAGGTTTTCTACACAGCTAATCAAACTGTAATCATCCCCAGAATAAATGAAAGTAAGATAAACATATTATTTATCAAGTGCCCATGTGGCCAGTCACTTTCCAAGCTGTTGTATTTGGATTGGAAGAGAATGTGGAGAAAACGGACAACACATCATTAAAGTCCCTGCCTGCCATCACAGAGCTGACAGTCTGGCAGAGAAGACAGATATTAAAAACCAAACGTGTACCGAAAAAAACCCGATTGTTGATAAACTAATTTACAGTGAGAAGAGCTTCAAGTAGACTAGAATTCTTGTTCCTACAAGACCAACCCACCTGTTCCATGCAATCAGGATTGTATAGAATTCAAGCAGTGGAGTACAATGTATGAATGGTCTTAGGATCACCTTGACAAGCACCTGTTTAGGATAGTGAATTCCCTATTGTAAGTTTTCTAACCACCCACCCCCTCACCTCACCCATTCTCCCATTTCTCAAAAAGGCTACAGTCCATTTATTTCTTCTTCCTATATTACAATCACATACACATATTGCCTCACCAAATTTCTTCACCTATCACCGATTGCAGTTTTCCATGTTCTAAAACTTCTTTCATCGCACGTAAAGAAATAATGCTATTTATTCCAGAAGTTACTTATATTCAATCTTTACAGAGTCTACTAATTTAAGCCTCAGAGGGCAATATTATGTCTGTTATTTTGAAGTTTGAGTTGGTGTACTGTGGTGGAAGGGCAATTAGACAGATATACACTGAAACTGTTGCCCCATAAACCCTCACAATAATTTTCACTTAACCTGCAAAGCAACACAATGACACACAAAAGTTAATTTTACATAAGTCATTAAGCATGCCACACACCAGAATATGTTAGGCATTATGCAAAGGTGAACATTAAAACAGGAACTTGGCAGGTTCATGCTCCAAGTTCAGTAGTCTTTTCCGCGGGCCATCTATGAACTATAAGCACACTTGAGGTGCAATAGAAAAAGGGTCCCCCTGTGAAAAGTTTCAACCAATGTTCAGATCATAAGTAAATAAATAAATATCTGAGTCAATGCAGAAGTAAAATAGCTCATGTCATTTAATTGCACACAAAATTAGCATCCGTGGTCAACTGTGTTTCAACAATATCAAGGAAAACATGTCTTTGTGGCACAGGTATGCTCAAGGTTTGTGCTGATAATTCAACATAAAGGCAGACCATCTTTGAAGTTCTTTTAAGCTTCATTGGATAGAAGATAATCTCACATCTGAGGGGATGGGGATCCCAGAGAGAATATTATCTAGGAGTGCCAGTTAGTTATGGACAGGGCTTTAGCTGTGTCAGAAATTCCAAGGTCTTATCCTTATCCTTATAGGTCTACATGAGGGTGCCAATCGAGATACCCAGATATGATCTCCATGATGCATTTGCCCTAATCAAAATATTGGGTTGTTGGAAAAGTCATGACGCATTTTTACGACGAAAAACATAGAAAAAAATATGTCATAACTTTTCTGACAACCCAATAGATGGGACCAATGCCTCAACCAGAATGCTAGTTTATTTAGTGATAATTAGGGCTTCATCTCTTTCCAGTCACTAAATTAATGGAACTCCCAGAGGAGTTTCAGAGAAAGCACACAACCCCAGGTTACATTCATTCAACACTGCTTTTCAAATTGGAGCAAAGAGCATTAGAGGAACTCCCCACTGAATTTCCATGGGAAAAACTGAAATGCTAAAAGATTTTTTTTAAAGATTTTTAAAAACATGGTCAAACATTATCTTGAATTTAGTCTATGGAGAAAAATGTCATTCAATAGGGTAGTTATTTAAACAAATTTTCACTGGGTGAACTTTTAAAAGAGGCACCCTGAGCTCCAAAAGAAATGTTGCGTGTGTCCTTTTCATGGATACATCTCCAGGAGTCAGCACAGGACCTGGAACTTAGATGCCCCTTAATTTTCTGAGTACATAAATGAAGAAATAAATATATTCCCCTTGATCATTACCATGAATTTTTTTATCCAGGAAAAACAATAGTTATTCAAAGGCAAAGTTATTTGAGTGTACATAAGTGAATAAAATCTTGCTCTTCACCTTAGAATATGAATTAACTTCATTTTTACAAACAAAAAATTAATGGAAAAAACGTAAGTGTTCATAAAGATGACTGCCACAGAAGGTTATTAACTCGAATCCATTTTGTGCAGTAAATCTATACAAATGGTTGATAAAACTGCCTACATGTACATAGTAACAATTACAGAATGTGAAAAATTATGTATTTAAAAAGAGATTCATAAAAATAACTATACATAAAAACACTTTCTATCTGAAAATCTGTAATAATGAGAGCACAATGCAAAAGTTCCACAATTAGGCTATAAGAAAATCTGTTAAAAACTGGAAATTTCAATAAGACACATTAAAAAAAATACAAAGAAAAGCTGAAATTTTGAATACTTGATAGCCAAACTTATCAATGACATCTTTCACATCATCATTTATACCGAACCACTGAGACACGTATTTCTCTAAAGCCAATTCTATAATTGTAGAAAGACTGGTATGCTGATTGCCAGAGATTTGATAAAAAGTGCCTCATCCCCTTGTAATTCCTGCATATATTCCTAGTGAATATTCATATTGTTGCTTACCAGTATCATAAACTAATGTAGTTTATTTATCTCAAGACACTAAGAATCTATAAAGTAAGTTCCAGTCAAGGCAACACTTACCAAGCACAATGACCACCGTCTTCAGAAGACTCATCATGGTATCGCGATTCCGCCGGGGTCCAGAGCTATGCCGAGACATTCTCATAGTCCTCTGGCGAACATAGCCAAAAATATGAGCATAGAGAACCACCATTACGACAAAGGTCACCAAGTTGAAAATGGCCCAGAAAACTAAGTAAGAGTCACTGTAGAGGGGCGCCATGTTGGAACAATTCTCAATATCACAGATGCAATTCCAGCCCACGCTGGGTATGGCCCCCATAACAATGGCCATCGTCCAGATGACCACAATCACCACCACCACCCTCCGGTTGCTCATCCGTGTGTGGAGCTGCATGCGGAAAACCGTAATGTGCCTCTCAATTGCAATAGCCAGTAAATTGGCCACAGATGCCGTCAGGCTGGTGTCAATGAGGCCCTGACGAAGGAGCCACGTGCTGACTGTCAGTCTCCGAGTGTTAGGTCCTGTGTTGAACATTAGGTAGAAGTAGGCCAACCCAGCAAAGAAGTCCGCAGCAGCCAGATTAGCCATTAAGTAATAAATAGGAAAATGGAAGCGGCGGTTGACGTAGATTGCCACCATGACCAGGAGATTGGCCAACATGATGAAGATACAGACGGTGATTCCAAGCCCCATCACCAGTTTGCTGACTGTATTCCATTCTGTGGCAAGATACTTTCCACTCCGGTTATAAAAAAAGGCGATGGATTCATTGTAGAAGCACTGTGGTTCATTCATGGCTGTGAACTAAAAGAGAAAAAAAAGAAAGATGAAAAAAGAAAAGAAAAGAAAAAAGAAACCACAGATCCAAATTTAAAGACATATAGATAATACAAGACTTCTATGGTAAATGTGGGGAAAAAAGAAAAAAAGAAAAGAATTTGAAAATCTGACCCTGCACAATGTTCTATGATTACGTTGAAACCCCAGGGTTTCTCACTGTATTACCGTCCTCAAGATTAAAGGCAGCTGGAGTTACATAAATGACAAGGTCCGTGCTTGGTGGTTGCACATCATTGAAGTCTACGAGAAAAGCCTCACAGCCCAGAAATCTTACTTAAAATACATGAGACAGATGAGAATTCTGCAAAGCACCGCAATTGGAATATTTACCATAGTGAAATCCACTTTGACCTGTTATTTAGGGAATCTATAAACATAGTTGGTTTATAGTTAGGGTATTATTGCCCTATTATTCTGCATTTCTGTTCTCACATAGAATATTCGATCTGTGACAGACATTTTTTAAGCAAATCCCCAAGAGGATCCATCAGTCCCAACATTTCAAAGAAGTCAGTATGCATCAAAGCTTCTTTACCCAAAGGCAGCATTTGCTGTTCAACATTCCTGTGGTCTGCACTGTCTACCCCCACGACTCCTTATCCTCAGAATAGCATTCGCCAACCAATCTATGACGTTTGAGAACTTTTTTCTTTTTTGAAGGACATAAGAAATATGTTACCTAATGTAACCTCCAAAGAGGGCTTGACACTTTGACACTAATCTACAATAAGAGAAGTATACTTAGATATCTTTTAAAATATAGAGTGACGAATAATGTATTATTATGTGTTTTCTTATTTTTCCACATCATTGGTTGAAATATACTTGCTTATTAATTATTTACACCTCACTGGAATCCAAGAAGAATTGAGGAAGTTTATAATAGAATGATATAGGTCATCATTAAACTATCAAAACACAACTAGAAAATAAAAGTAACAGAGAGAAACTAGAAAATTATACATCCTGTAGAATAAATCACTTTTCCTGAAGGCTTCAGTTTGAGACTCTTAGAAAATATTTCTTGAATGCAGCTCACATCCTAACTTTTTCTTTTCTATCTTGCACTGTGTTTTAGTTAATTGCCTAGCAAATGTGAGTTTTAAGGCTATTTCTTAAATAATTTTTCTGTTTTTCAATTACAGTTGACATTCTAATATTATATTAAGTTTCAGGTGTGCAGCATAGTTAACTACTATTTTTTACCAAATAATCTTCTGAAAATCCACAAGTCGTACATAAATGTTTACCAAACACTGAAAGTTCCAAAACAGTGCAAAATACATGTTAGTCTTTTACTTGTCCAGACATCTAGAGTCTCTTTCCTCATTTAGACTTTAATACCTTTTAGATCATGCTTCTATCATTACACTTACCATGTTGTATAATTATTTATAGCTTAACTTGTCTGTTTCTTAAAGAGATCATAGTCCAAAGGAGGAGTGAAGCCTTCATCTTACACATGTTGGTATCTTATGTAGCGCCCACGGAACCTCATTCATTTGAGATCTCAGAATTTGGCTTGTGGTGTTCCATTCCACCCCAAATCTTGCCATTAATCTGAGTAATTCATCTAATTTTCTTGCCTTTGAGTTTCTTGACCTCATCTCTGATGACTTTCTCTTTCATTACAACACAGCTGCCCACTCCCATGGTCACACCCTGGACTTTGTAACCAGTCAGAACTGTCTCCCTTTGGAAACATTCTTAACTTATACATTCTAAATACTCACCACACTTTCCATGCTTCCAAATTTCTCATTTGATCCCCAATACATCAGTTCTTTGAAGTCCTCTGTTTCCTTAAGCATCTTATCTTTTTTCTCAGTGAGTTACCCTCCATGTCTTCCCCTTTTCCCTTATCCAGCTTAGATTCCATAGTATATCAATTCAACATCTGTATTGCTAACACAAGAACACATTATCTTCTTGAGGACTTTGAGGTCAGATGTCCCTCAGGATTCAACGTTTTTTTCTGGTTTTAAGACCATTACACAGTGCATAATCAATATGTGATGTAACATCCTCATCAAAATTTGGGACAGCGCTTCATTATCATACACATTAATTTCTAAAGCAAAACATATGAATTTATACACTAAATTTGATAAAGGTTATAAATAGCCTCAAATCAATTCATTGAGAGAAAGTTTCACCACTGAGTTATGAAAACATTTTCAGTTTCCAGGCCCTCTTGAAGTTTATAATTATTTCAGATAAGGAAGCAGGGACCTCTTTATCTTTTAATCTACTTGCCCCACTGTACTTCCATAACAATTTCTTAGAATAACACCAGTCTTCAATAAATGCAATTGGTTGCTACTTCCGTATCTACACCAAGGCTTCTGAGAAGCGTTAGGGAAAATTAACGTACTTGGCAGATTGAGTCTGGTATAAATTCATGATGTCTAACCTTAAGTGAGACTGCAGTGCCACAAGAAATCTGATTTTCCCCTAATTATCATTCCACATCTTCTCCACAGTGACTATTTTAAACTTACCTACTATTCTCTTTTGAGCCCCTTCTTCCATCTCTACGTTGGCAGTTGCCAAAAGTGGAAAATGGAAATCATCAGATTAGAGCTCCTTCACCTTTCTCCCACCAAAAAGACAAAATTGCCTATTCAAGAGTCCATCCCTTCTTTTTCTTCTGTTACAGTGGAAAAGGTGCACCCTTTTCCATTCAACTGTTCTGAATCCCATCCATTCCTACTATTTCAAGAAACTTGTTCTATAAATTGCTTCCTTCCTCCTCCTAATATCTCCAGTCCCCCACTCCCTCTCTTTACTCCCACAAACTATTCCTATCCATCTTAAAAACTTAGTCTCTCGCATCTTAAAAAAAAGAAAGAGAAAAAAAGAAAGTCCCACATGACCTCATGGTCACCTTCCAGCTTTGATCCTTTTTCTCCTTCATGGCCAACTGCTGTCTCCTATCTCTCTTACACTAATTTCTCAATTAACTATAGGATGGCTTCTACCCCCTTCCCCTCCATCAAACCCACTCTAGCCAAATTCTTGAATTCCAAAATTCCATATAACTTCCCAGAATTACACCAATCTTGTGGCTATTTCAATGGAAACTTCTCAGTCCTTACCTTACTGACCTCCTCGGAGCACTAAATACATCACCAAGAGGCTCTTTTTAGAAATGTCTCTCTTTGGCTTTCATGGTGTCATACTCTCTTGGGTTTTGATCCTTCTCTCTGACTCGTCCTTCTCAGTCAGTTCTGAGGGTTCCCCATACTCTGAACAATATTAATGTTTCTACATTATTTATGCTCTCATCCTACACATGTTCATTGAGTTTTCTTTTCTTTTTTTTTTAAGATTTTTATTGGGTAATTGGGGGGATGGGAACAGTGCTGGGGAATTAGGGGAAGGGGAACAGACAAGTTGCTGTCGTTTTGTTCTTCAGTCTAGTTGTGGAGGACGCTGCTTCACTGGCCCAAGTTGGCACCATCATTGCACTCTTCCCTGGCGAGGCAGATCAGTCGCCGGCTTCTGGACGGCCGCTCACTGCGGCTGCTGGCCGCTCACTGCGGCTGCTGGCCGCTCACGCTGGCTGCTGGCTACACACGTAGCCCATGGCAACCCACTGCCACAGGGACTGCAGCCTATGCCGTCGCCAGCAACTCACGGCAGCCCAGCTCCAGGTTGAGCTGTTGTTCAGCATCTTAGCTGTGGAGGGCAGTGTCACTGGCCCTCATATGTGGGATCCGAACCGGGGCCCTCTGGCATCCCAAGCGAGCTCTTAACCATCGCGCCACTCGGCCGGCCCCTTCATTGAGTTTTCTAATATGTCCTCCAAGATTTGAATTATATGTCCCAAATACTCCCATATCTATTCAACCCATCCTTCTTTTCTGAGCTCTAGGCATACATTGCATTGCCTACTGGTATCTCTAATTGAGATACCCCATAAGTAGTTCTATCTCTGTGTTCAAAACCAAACTCAAACTATCATCTTCCTCATGATCCCTAACTTGTTCCTCCTGAGTTCTCTATTCCAGATACTGGAGAACCACTCACTATCTTTCTAGTGGTCTGAGTGCCTGACCTGGAAATGCCTTTTTCTCTCCTCATCCTTATCATTTAATCAATAACCAAATCCTGTAGGCTCTCCTTCCTAAGTATCTGCTCAACCTGTCTACTATCCCATTCTCATAACCACCAACATTATTCCTACAACTGGCTTCCTAAGTGTTCCTTCTGCTCAGCACCAATCTTACCTCTAGTGATCTTACTAAAAGACAAAGCTGACCACGCTGCTCCCCTACTGGAAATGCTTCAATGGCTTACAAGCACACTTAGATAAAAATTGAAACTCTTCTACTATCTTATCGGTCCTCCCTTTCCTCTCCAGCCTCAACCTAAGCTATTTGTGACTGCAACGGCTCTGCTTCAGCTATAATTAATGTGCTGTGCTCTCTCACACATCTGGTTCTCAGCATCAGTGAAGACAGTGGTTTTCTGCATCAGAATCACCCAAAGGATTTGTAAAACACAGAGCTCTGAACACATCCTGAAAATTCCTGATTTACCAGATCTGAGGTGGGGCCCTAGGTGATGCTCATGGCGCTGGTCCAGGGACTACACTTTGAGTCCCACTGACCTAGAACGATCTCCCCCAATTTCACCTATATTCCTTCATCCATCAGTTTAAATGTTATTCTTGCTAGTCATTTTTCCCTAGACCACCAGTTCTCAACCTGTGGGTCGTGACCCCTTTGGGGGTCAAACGACCCTTTCACAGAGGTCGCCTAAGACCATCAGAAAACAAAAAGATATTTACATGACGATTCATAACAGTAGCAAAATTACAGTTATAGAGTAGCAACGAAAATAATTTTATGGTTGGGGGTCACCACAACATGAGGAACTGTATTAAGGGGTCGCGGCATTAGGAAGGTTGAGAACCGCCGCTCTAGACCTTCCCACTTCTGGACAAGGTGTTTCCCACC